TTCCCAGTAGCTGTTGAACCACTTGCTGGCTTCCCCGTGACAATAAAGGAGCACAGGGACATTTTAGTGAGGGTGTTGGGCCCTGGCTTTTTGCAGGTTGAACATTGAGCAGTCCGTCGACTTTGAGATTGAGTCAGCCATCGACCTCCAGATCAACACGCAGCTGAGTATGCTGGCTCCTCTGGGAAGATGGGAGGGGCCAGGCTCAGGGATGGACGACCAAAGAGATGGGTGCTCTGAGGCCTCTGGAGGGACAAGCTAGGAAAGCTTGTGGGACAGGAAGCCCAGAGCTGGCCCAGCTTCTGGCTCCCTGACTGCCCATGGGTGCTGGCCGGTAGCCCAGGCTGCCTTCATGGGTGTTGGGTTCTCTGCAGCCTGTGATTCTGGCAGTGTGAGGACTAATGCCCCTGACTGCTCCATCTCCTTCCATAAGCTGCTCCTGCACCTCCAAGGCGAGCGCGAGTAAGTCACCATCTCCGGGAACCCCTTCTTATTCCCCAGCCTGTTAGTGCGTCCCCTCCTCAGAGATGTCATTTCCAGTCCCTTCCCATTAGTGGGCCCTTAAAATTCAACAACAGCAACAGCTCCATTTGCTGAGAATGCTTTATGGGATAAAGAGCGTTCTAAGCTCATTGCACAGAGAGGATCGCAAGGTTCAGAGAAGCCCCAGGATCCCAATCAATAACAAGTGTGGATAGCAGAGGGGAGCTGGTGTCTGGGCACTGGAGAGAGCCATCTCTCAGCCCTTCAGCAAATGGGTTCATGCATGGATGCAGACTCCAGCATGCCCACATGCATGGAAGGTAAAGGTGTGATAGACAGGAAGTGGGTCCTCCAGGGAAAGCCTACCGTAGCAGTGGGTTGACACTTGGGTTCCAGGCCTTCTGAGTTCAGTGCTCTCTGCTGTGAAGTGGGGATGCTCATGTCTACTTCCTGAGCTCTCTTGGAGGACTCCCAGGGCAGGGCAGCCCTGGATGCTGCTCAGCATACAGTAGGTGCCCAAAGCATGCGCGTGACTACGTGGAGACCCACTGTGATGCTTGGTCCCCTCAGGCCTGGGTGGATCAAGCAGCTGTTCACAAATATCATCTCCTTCACCCTGAAGCTGGTCCTGAAGGCACAGGTAGGTGAAGCCAGACCAGTGTTGAGCCTGGGAACCTGCCACCCGACTCATTCCCAGTGCATCCGCTCAGACACAGCTAGAAAGAGGTACTGCCTGCCTCTTCTCTGGCCTCTTCGCCTGCCTGATAAACAGCTTGAGCTGTCTGCTCCAGGTCTGCAAGGAAATCAACGTCATCTCCAACATCATGGCTGACTTTGTCCAGACCAGGGCTGGTGAGTTCTGTCCTCGTGGTTTATTGTGGGACATCGGGACAGACACTCCTTTATGTGACTTTTGTTGACCCGAGAGGCACTTCCTTTTGGATGTACAACTTTTTAAGCTGACCTTGCGTAAGACACTGAACCTCTGAGACTCAGTTTCCCTGTTGGTAATGGAGAGATGATAACAACATCTTACCCCACAGGGTAGCAAGGAAATTGACTGAAAAACAAATGGGAATTCAAAAAATACAAGACAACAGCTGGGCCGTTGCCAATGCTTATTGTCACAACTAGATTTATCAGCCTCCCGTTCTCCCAAGGCTAAGCGCAGCAGCAACTACGCATTAGGCAGAAAATAATGAATGGTGAGAAGGAGATCTCACCGAGGGAGTTGCAATCTCACCTTACCTTCCCACCAGGCTTAGAGCCATGGGGGAGCTCCCACGAGGCTGTGTAACATGGAAGGAACCATTGGGACTGTGGTGCCCTGTAAGGACATTCCTATGTCACTGGAAGGAACAGAGAGAGAGGACTGGATACTGTAAGGATTGGGCAGTCCTGCCCTGTCTGGTACCAACAGACAGAGCCACCGTTAGTGACCTACTTCTCACTAACAGTCGGCTTCTAGCTAGGCAGTCCTCCTAGCCCTGTCTTACTAAGGATGACTGGTTTATAAGCTGACAGGACACTCCCCACACTCCAAGTAAGAAGTGGAGGAGAGGATTCAAACAGCTGGTCCTTTAGCAATTGATCACTGGGCCTGGCCACACAGTCCTTGCTCCCTGAATAAGGGCAATAAATGCAGCGAAGCTCTAGGTCAAGTGGGGACCTCTGAAGGATGACTTAGGAGGGGAGACCTCCACACAGCCCCAGGTGTCCTGGGCAGCATCCTAGCCTTCTGTCTAGGATGCAGAGTAGCCACACAGTGTGGGAGAGCCAACTGCCTTCCCCACCACGGGGGAAACCTGGATTAGGAGCCTTCCTGCTTCTGTGAAACACGGGGTGGTCCTGTCCATCAGGGAGAAGTGGAGGTGGGACAGAGACACAGAGCTCAGCTGGGCTGGGAGGCCAGGGTTCCATACCAACTAATGGGGACTAGTGGCTACAGAGCCCCTGGGGACTGCAGATGCATCAGTGGTTTTTGTCAGCTGTAGCCCCCTCTTGGATGTGGGAGAAGATCAGAAGAAAGATTAGAATCATTCACAGTGTGCAAGCTTGCTCGCTCGTTCACACTTTTGCACAAATGAATTAAATGAACACAGCCCTGAGACAGGTGCCGTCTTCAGAGGGGAGGACAAGGGTTAGGTCATCATCAGCTGTTGCCACTCCCAGTTTGGGCCTGGGGTTACAGCCTGCGCCTGAACTCTGAACCCTTCTGCCCCAAGGCCTTCCTCAGCACGAAGCTGCCCAGACAGTCACTGAGAGAAAAGAGTAAAATAGGGTCCACCCTTGGCTCTGGGACTGTTCCACAGAGGGGAGCTTCTCTCTGAAGCATTTAGGAGCAAAGAACCCCTCAACCAGGGCCAGCCACAGGTCTGACCCCTGCTTCCCCACAGCCAACATCCTCTCAGATGGAGACATCGGGGTGGACATTTCCTTGACGAGATCACCCGTCATCACGGCCACCTACCTTGAGTCCCATCATAAGGTAGGCACGTTAGGAGGGGGCAGGACTTCTCCTGTTGTACTCTTGGGTTTGGTCCTTACCCTCCACTTCCTTCCCCTAACTTTTATTCTATGGAAGTCAAGTGTCCCTCATTACACATCTGTAAGACATTTTATGACATGGACAGAAAAGCTGGACCTCGGTCCATGTGCCTCATCCCCTGTTCAGCACTGACTCCATTACAAAATGTTTGCCTTCTGACCCCCCGAACAGTTAGGGTAGCCACCGCCCCTGGTAAGATCTGACAAAAATCCTGGGCCTCTATGACCTGAGACATGGGTCGTACTATTATAACAGAGACCCAAGAGAACAGCTTGACGCCCCCAGCTAATCAGCCTCCTCAGGGAACGGCCTGGGAGTTCTGGCCGATGCAGATGTGTCTGGCTGATGTGTCGGTGTGCACAACACAGCTGTATTGTGACTGAATACTACACCCACTGTTTTCACACCCTACGGGCCTGGCCTCAATCACGTGGTCACCTAGCTGAGAAGGTCATTCCATGGAACTGTGAACCTGACTAAGGCCTGGGTGTTACAGAACTCTGAGAGTCACCAGTCATCTCTCCAAGGGGGCTTGTCCCTGGGAAAGTGACCAAAAGGAACACTTCAGGAGGGTGTGGATGCCCATGAAGACCCTCCACCACATGTGGGTGGCTGTTGTCAGTGGGCACGAACTGCTAGTGGCTCATCTTCCTTACTCTGTTGACTGGGGCTAGTGGCTGTGGACTGTCAGCTCCCTGAAGGCACAGGGCTGGTAGCCAGGGTAGGAACATAGAGACCGTGGTCCAGCTGCTCTAACTGCCATCTTTGGTGGAGTGCCAGCCTGGGAAGTGGTGACCAAGCCCACCTGACGCCTCACCCTGTGCTAGGAGCCTATCGGGCACTTTAGCTGCAGCCGCTGAATGCAGGTGTTCCTCAGTTTCCCCGTCTGTCTTCGACTAGACGCTTTGCCTTCCAAAGCTCTGCTCTACGCTCTGAGCCCGGCTCCTGAGCCTGGCAGGGCTAAGGAGAAGAGCACCAAGTATACCAGTTTCTTCCAGGGCCATTTCATCTACAAGAACATCTCCGAGGTGCGCCCCCTCCCTTCCTTCTCACCCACGCTGCTGGGGGACACCCGAATGCTCTACTTCTGGTTCTCTGAGCAAGTCCTCGACTCCCTAGCCAAAGTCGCCTTCCAGGATGGTCGCCTCCAACTCAACCTGGCAGAGGCTGAGCTCGGGGTAAGGGGCAGGTTGGACTGCTGGGACAACCATGTGTGTGATGGTCTATATGCATTCATCCCCACCCAGGGTTGGGGAGAGCCTAAAGGGAACTTTGAGTGTTGGTCAGAGGAGCCATGAACCACCGAAGCTGCAGCCATAATATATATTCTAGCATTTTTTTTGGGTGCCCACTATGCATGGTGTATAAGAGTCACTGATCAATGAAACAGTAGACAGGCAGATGTAATTATAGATATTTTTGACACATCGTGATTGTGCAAATTACCTGCTGTTAGCATCGCTGCTGCCGCCATTTTTGTTGCACTGGCTGCAGGTGAGTAGGGTTGCCACTCTGTGTATGCAAAAGCGTTCAGCCAAAAATAAGAAATCCAAAGAAGCCTGAGAGGATAGGTAGCTTGTCCTCGACAGCTTAAGAGGTGACTCACAAGCCAGCACCTTCCATGGCTGCTTAGCTGGCTTACAGCCCACACCTGCCTGTGAATTAATGGGGGGGGGGGGAACTGGGCTCCTACAGGGAAGATCGCAAGGTCCCGCAGCCTGGGTGTCACAAGCCTCCAGCTAGGTCAGGATTTCTTATACTATACCCTTCCCTGATCTAATTTGGGGGTTGAGTTTCAGGAGGGGTCCAATCCAGGACGCTGCACCCCACACCTGAAGCCTGAAGTGTCTTTCTGAGGAGTAACCCCACCCTCACTCACCTTTCTCTTGTAGGCAGTGCTAGAGACTTGGCACTTCAACCCTAAGCGGGAAATTGTTCCGGAGGTAAGTTCTTGTCACTTGGGGTTTGGCTTATGCACCCCGACCCTGCCCCTACTTCAGGAGCTCCCCTATCCCCAGCCAGTCTCAGCAATGGGGACACACATATGAGCAAGGACAAGCTCCTGGGTGTCCAGTCTGAGCTAAGGCTGTCTACCTATCATCTCATTTGGAACTTCGTAGAGCCCTGAGAGCCAGACGTTGTTCTGAGTGCCATTCTCCCACTGGACAGCCTAGTGAATGACAGGGCAGCCTGTGAGCCATGATGACTCTAAAGATTATACCCCGTACCCCTGCTCATACCGAGTCCACAGGGTAGAGGGTGGAGGGTGGAACCCAGGATTAGCGCCAGGCTCTCTCAGGGGGCCTGGACATTAGGCTGTGACTACTCACTACTGACTCTGGACCCAGCCTCAGAGTGTGCTCTCTGAACGTCACAGCTTTCCCTCTGCTGAGCGGTGATGATATCTATAAACCTGTTTCTCAAGGCAAGGCCCTAATCTTGAAGGGACCAAAGCCCTGTCTGGGTAAACTCCTCCAGCCTTTTCATGGACTCACTCCCCACCTGTTGGAGGGAGGTTGCTTGTTCATTCTGGACACCCAGAATCAAAATAATCACACAGAAATTGTATTAATTAAATCACTGCTTGACCCATTAGCTCTAACTTCTTACTGGCTAACTCTTACATATTAATCTAACCCATTTCTATTAATCTGTGTATTGCTATGTGGCAGTGGCTTACTGGGTAAAGTCTGGCTCTGGTGGGGCTACATGGCTTCTCTCTGACTCCACCCTTCTTTCTCCCAGCATTCAGTTTAGTTTTCCCCACCTAGCTAAGTTCTGCCCTGCTATAGGTCCAAAGCAGTTTCTTTATTCATTAATGGTAATCACAGCATACAGAGGGAAATCCCACTTCACCCACCCACTGTGGTGGTTGCTTGGGTATTTTCACACCACCCTAAATTTTCCAGGAGCTCTCCCAGCTTCCCGCCACCTCCCTTTCCACAAACTCAGCAACTCTCTGTAACTGCTTCTCCCAGAGTGGCCCCATCAGAGCTCCCTTCTGCTGCTGTCCCAACTCACCCCCTCCTTCCTGCTCCTCCTTGGGTGTCTTCCAGGCCTAGCAGTGACAGCTCTTCCTTTCTGAAATTCCTGTCTTTCCTTCCCAGCCTAGGCTGCTTCTTCCTTCCAGAGATGCAACTCAGAACACAGGCAAACCTCTGATTTGTCCTCCCTCATCCCCACCCCAAAGCGCCATCATGACATCCACGCTACTGTAGAGTTAGTCTGTCCACTTCTCTTGGTTCCCATTCCCAACCCCAGGCCCAGCTACTGTAGGGGTCTCTGCAACCTCAACAGGAACAGCCTGCAGAGAGATGAGCCGCGGGAGGCAAGGAGACAGTTCAGTTCAACACAACTCAGTAGCCGGTGTTGGTACAAACTTCTGGTATCTGTCCCTGAGGGTTTATTTTAGGCATCTTCAAGCGTAGCACAATCTAGTGGAAACTATTCTGCTGCTAATTAATTTAACTCAATTCCACGCGCAGCAACAAAGCATACATAAATCTCCTTGAGCAAAGTAAGTCAAACCCAGGCCAGACGAGGCTTGGTTCTGTAAATTGAGGGGGAAAGCATGATGCGGTATGTATTTATGTTAAATGTTCAGCTCAGGAAGTCCTGCACCTTGCCAGACAGAATCACAAATGCATCCTTCAATCCTGGCTTTCACGGATTGCGCTTTGCTCTGTTTACTTCCGGTGTGGCTACTATCGTCGCTGCTGTTGTCTGAGGACAGGGCTTCACCATAGGGAAGGCTCGTGCTAGCCTCAAATTTTGCATGTAGCCGAGGCTGCTCTCCGGTTTTTGACCTTGCTGCCGCTGGGATTGCAAGTGTTCACCACCACGCTTGGGCCCTTCTTGTCTGTACCTCTACGCCACTTGAACCTCCATGTGGTTTCCTCCATGTGGTTTCCTTTGGTGAGGGTAGTCTCAGTATTTCTTCCACAGACAGGAAATGTCTTGCTCCCAGCTGTACACCTCACCGATTTCAGAGAACACCAAAGCTCAGGGACGCGCACCTCAGTGCCATACCCTCTACGGTGTCCCGGGGCTTCGCTGCGTACAGCTTCACCCCTCAGCTGAGTCCCAGCTTCACTTCTCAGCTGGGTCCCCAGAAAGCCTGTCTCCAGAACCTAGGATTGAGTTCAGTTTTGTGTTAGGTAAAGATTCTTATTTGGGGCACTCACTGGCCTAGTGGTGCATTTGGGAGAAGCTGCTGGCCCAGTCCCATTGGCTGCCGGTTCTGCAGCTCTGCTCAGCTGATCTGCCCCCTGCCTTCCTTGCTTGAGCAAAGCTCAACCCACAGGGCCTTTGCTGGCTCTTCCGTCCTCCCTCCCCCCTCCCCCATCTGATTCTTTTCCGTCTATGGGGTGGGCCTCTCCCACCTCCTGGTCTAAGTCAGATCCTTTGTCCAAGACTCTTGTACCCTGGGCCTGGTCCCTCTCCCCTTTCACATACTCTAATTGTAATTGCACGCTTCGTTTGGGGATTCTAGAACGAATGCTGGGCTTTGCTGGTAGAGTCCAGGTGTGTTTGGCTCTCTGCTTGAATCCAGTTCCTGATCAGAGCTGAAGTTAGCAAGGTTCCCACAAATATCATTAGAAACAACAGCAGGCTGTTAAAGTCCCCCCCTCCCCCCCTTCCTCCCTTCTTCCCCCCCCCCCCCCCTCTCTCTCTCTCTCTCTCTCTCTCTCTCTCTCTCTCTCTCTCGTGTGTGTGTGTGTGTGTGTGTGTGTGTGTGTGTGTGTGTGTTGTGTTTTCTAGACAGGGTTTCCCTGTGTAGCTCTGACTGTCCTGGAACTCGTTCTGTAGACCAGGCTGTCCTCTAACTCAGACTCACCTGCCTCTGCCTTCTGAGTGCTGGGATTACGAGCATGTGCCACACCATACCAGGCTTAAAAAAAGGCAACCCTCCCATCCCCCAACCCCTCCCCCCCAAAAAACACCTCTTTATTCTTTTCGTCACCTCTCCTGGGTCCCCGTAGGACCCACTCCCGGCTCTGTATGTTGGCGATCTCATTTATTCCTCACTGCTGTCACCCCTATTTCACAGATTGGGAAAAGTGAGGCCCACAAAGCTGAGTGACTGCGTCCCTCCCACGCCCCTGGAGGTGGCAGAGAAGCAGCAGTATTTGCTGTCCCCCATACAGATAACAGAACCGAGGGTGTGGGGGGGGGGCAAAAGTCTTAACTTATTCTAATTTTTAATGTATACTTACTTTCATGTATGTGAGTGTTTTCCCTGCATGTTTGTATGTGTGCCACATATGTGCCTGGTGCCCACAGATTTCAGAAGAGGGAGTGAGATCCCCTGGAATGGAATCACAGACTGATGTGAGCCCATGTAGGTGCTAGGAATCAGGTCAGGGTCCTCTGGAAGAGCAGCCAGCTCTCTTAACTGCTGAGCCATCTCTCCAGCCAAGCGTTAATGTCTTGCCGTGTCACTGTTAAGTGAGTATTGAGGTGCAGCTCAGAGCCTGAGCCACTGCCCTGAGCTGTTTATACTCACCCGGGACTCTAGCCAGTCTGATCCCTCTAGCCTCCGAGGGCAGTAACCACAGCCCTTCTGATGGTTTCTTCTGTTCCATGGGATCCCCGTCTCTCCACAGCTGTTAAGTGGCTTCCTCACTAGCCCCGGCACAGTCACCGTCCACTGCCCGAGGAGGCCCACAATCTCCTGCCAGAACAAAGGTGTCGTGGTCAGTTCTCCTGTAGTGATGGAATTTATCTTCCCACACAAGGATGGGCAAGATTCCGTGGCTCACACTTTCGAAGAGGTGAGATGAGTTGCAGGGGTTTGGACCACTGGCCGCTGTCTAAATCTACTGATTCGTTCTACCACCTCTGCCGGGATTCACTGTTTCCTACCTATGGCTCATGTTCATCAAAACTGTGGGACCTGAGCTAGGAGGTGGTCGACAAGATGTTCCAGCTTTACTGGTCCTCCCCTAAGCGGAGTACTGACACACAGACACTTGTCATTTAGGTCTCAAACTGTCACCATCTGCCCCTGTCCGCATCCTCTAAGACCACATGGATTTCCTGTTTCCCATGTTGTGGGTTTTAGGAAAAAAGCATAGTGTGTGTACGTGCTGGCCTTGTTGCTGAGAGTCCCATGTAAGGTCAGGGGTGGCACCACAATCAAGGACACACTGGCATTTCTCCTTGTGTCACAGCCACATAAAACAAGGCCAGGACTGGTGACCAAGCCCCCTCTGAGTGGCTACTTTTCATAAACTCAGAAACATGAGCGCGGATGCTAGGATAGTTGTAATGAAGGCGCTGAGGGTTAGTCTGGTTTCCTCAGTGTTTTCTAGTAGCTCAGTCTCTAAAGATAGCAGGCAGGATGTCTACTCCTGTAATCTCACTGTTGGAAGGCTAGGCTAGGACTGTGCATTAAAGATAATCCTGGGCTAATAGGGGACCCTGATTGGGAAAAAACCACACCCCCAAATCAACCCCCCCCCGAAATCCTAAAGGCAAAAGTAGTGAAGCCCATCACAGAAATGCTGACATTTGAAAGAAGAAGCTCAATGACACACAGGCCCAGGGCCCAGGACCGCACCCCATCTCCATGGAGACGGATGGTTTCCTTCTGACAAGTTCCTCAAAAACAGCAACAAACGAACTCCTTAGTTATATGCTTTAATCTCATAAAAGTACTTCAGTTAGGCCAAAGAGACGACTCAGTTCAGTTCTTGGGACCCACACAGCAGAAGGAGAAAATCAGTGGGTGGGGGTTATTCTCTGGCCTGCCACGTTCATAATGTCCTGCACACGGATGAACACACACCACATAAACAAAAAAGGGATGAAATTTTAAACGTTTGGTGCACTTGTGCACACATACACAGACACACATACACGGACACAGATACACACACAGACATACAGAGAAATACACACACACACAAAGACACACAGAGAAATATGCACACACACAGACACAGACATGCACACAGACACACAAAGACACACAGAGAAATACACACACAGCGACACAGAGAAATACACACACAGACATACACAGACGTGCACACACACAGGCACACAGAGAAATATGCATGCACACACATAGACAGACACAGACATGCACACAGACACACAGAGAAATAAACACACACACATTTCCAACTCACTGCTTGTTCTTAATGCTGGGGCTCCTGACCAAGGGAACAGTCCTGGAGATGCAGCTATCCAGGGTCCTGGATCTCCAGAGTGTGAAAATGCAAACACATCCGGCTGCTTGCAGAGGACGCCTCAGCTCTCCTGAAGGATGGCTATGCTTTGGAGGTGGAGGATGGAAGCGATTTGCGAAAGTCTTGGTGATTGGTCATTTCAGACCTACCAGGAAGAAGCAGTTGGGTGTGTGGGTAGGACCAGGGTCCTACATCCAAAGCCGCAGGTGCTGGGCAACTTTCTTCACTTTTGCCTTTTCAATCCCCTCCTCGGCTGTGGAACTCAGGAGCTGTGCGTCCTTGGCAGATGCTCCCTGACAGAACTCCTCCAGCCTTACCCCCACCCCACCCCCGCCCCGCTTCATCTGTGTTTATGTGGTACATTCATATGTATGTGCTCCCTTGTGCACACGTGTGCGCACACCCAGATGCTGGAGGTGACACTGGGTATTTTCTCTACCGCTCTACGCCATTTTCTTCCTTTTCTTTTGGTGGTTTGTTTTGGTTTTTGAGAAAAGAGTCACACTATATAGCTCTGGCTGGCCTAGAACCCACAGATCTGCCTGCCTCTCTCTCCAGAGCACTGGAGTTAAAAGTGTATGCCACCACACCTGGCTTGTATCTTATTTTTTGAAGCAGGGTCTCTCACTGAATCTAGAGCTTGCAAATATAGCATGCCCCAGAGATTCTCTTAGCTCTGCCCTCCCAGGTGCTGGGATTAAAGGCACATGCTACCACCACCCAGCTCCAGGCCCTGCTTTTAATGTGGGAGCTAAGGATCACTTTGCTCCTCATGTTTGCTCTCTAAGCACTTCACCAACCGAGTCACCTCCCCAACAGCATCCCCAACTTTTTTTTGTTTTGTTTTTCGAGACAGGGTTTCTCTATCGCTTTGGAGCCTGTCCTGGAACTAGCTCTTGTAGACCAGGCTGGCCTCGACCTCACAGAGACCCACCTGCCTCTGCCTCCTGAGTGCTGGGGTTAAAGTCGTGTGTCATCACCTCCTGTTTTTTTTTTTTAAACCATTGCTTTATAGGATGCATTTGATGCAAAAATGTCTCATATTGCCATCTTAGTTAACTCTCTAAAATAGTTTCTTTTAGTTCTTCTCTTTGAAGTCCTTTTCTGCTCTCCGGACACCACAGAGGCTATTGCTGGCTTTTTATCCTGTAAATTCATGTTTTCTTTCATGACTCATGTTTGTGTTTTATTTCCATCTGCAGTGCTGAGGGTGGAACCTGGGGCAGGCCAGGCAAGCCGTCTATCACTAAGCTATGCCTCCAACCTTCCATTAGTTTTCAGAAGACCAGTGGCTCAGCCTGCTCCTATTGTTCCTCAGGACCCCCTGCTCCTCATGCCTCTCTGTGCAGGGCAGAGAGTAGAGAGCTCTGCTTCCAGGAGGGCCCGGCTCAGAGCTTCTGTTTTCTCTCCCCAGGATATTGTTGCTACCGTTCAGGCCTCCTACTCTAAGAAAAAGCTCTCCTTAAGCCTTGTGGATTTCCAGTATGTCTTCTGGCTTGGGGGAAGAGGGTGGACTCGGCAAGCATGTCTTAACCCGGGGCTAGGACCTGGGTGGGGTGGTGGAGGTCTGTGGGTGGTTCCTTTGAGAACTTAGGTGTATCTTCGAGGAGAGAAGAGCCCTCCCCAGTGTCAGTATCAGAAGGAAGAAGCATCAGTGTGGAGAGAGGGCCTGGCCTGACCTGTGCGAAGGCTGGGTGGCTGGAAGGCAAATAGAGAGAGAGGGGGTTCTGAAGGGTAGAGGCCTTGGGCATAAGAGAGGAGCAAGGAGAAAGGAGGATGCTGTGGTTGCAGTCCGAAGCAGGACTAGATTTCCACCCCTCCCCCTTTGCTCTTTGTATCTGTGGTTGGGTGCTGAGGATGAAGCTGGAGGCTTTTGGTGTGCTAAGCAAGTGTTCTACGGATGAGTTATGCTTCACGCCATTGCTTTTTTGAGACAGGATCTCGCTGTATATCCCAAGCTGTCTAGGAAAGAGTGCTAGGTTATGGGTATATGTCAGCATGTTTGACTAAGATGAAGTCGTTCTCACTTTCCATGTCTTTCTCTTCCTCTCTCTTGACTCAGGATTAAACCAAAGACTACCTCCAACATGGCTGAGGTAGGTAGTCTTGGAAGAAATAAGTTCTGGGGAAAAGCAGGTGGAGGATGTAAAAAAAAGGGGGGGGGCAATAGGACCCTCCTGGGTCTCTTGTGTAACTTTTCTCCTGCTCTCTACCAGATGGAACATTGTTTTTGCAGAAATGGGATTGATCAGAGGAGACTTAAATTAGAAGGCAGGGGAGTGCTGGATAGGTAGCCTCTCCTGGGGACCAGTTTCCCTTCTGTGGAATGGGATAACAGCCATCACCTAGAAGGGACCTCTGGGAAGGAGCAGAGCGTCTGGGTTCAGATGAACATTCTTATGGGCATGCGAATGAGTGCGTGTTGAGGCTTTGTGGCCATCTGCCTCATGGTCACCTCTGTGATCTGAAGAACACTCACCATGGGCCTCTGATCGACAGAGCTCCAAGTCCATCCAGAGCTTCCTGCAGTTGTTGGTCTCCACAGTAGGCGTCCCCGAGGTCATGTCTCGTAAGTGCGGGGCCTAGGAAAGGATGGGGTGGCTGTCTGGCTTTACCTTGTTCCCACTTCTAGACTGTTCATTGCAGAGAGCCCTCCCAAGCAGAGCCCAAAGTACTTCTCTCAAACCATTGGGTATCCGCAGTCTCTTCCCAGGTGGCACTGTGTAATGCGATCAGATCCACAGACCCCTGATTCTGGCTCTCACTGACAGCATTGTCTCTGCCTCCTCGCTGTTGGCTAAACCCACTTTAGGAACCCAGTTCTCAGCCAGGTGTGGTGGTGCACACCTTTAATCTCAGTGCTTGGAAGGTAGAAGCATGTAGATCTTCTTGGGCTTGAGGTCAGCCTGGTCTGAATAATGAGTCCCAGGACACTCAGGACTATGTAGAGAGACCTTGTCTCAAAAGAGCAAAAGATAAAATAAAAATAAGAACACAGGTCTCCCAGTGGCAACTGGATATGTCAGGAAAAAAAATCCTGACAGCTGGAGGTAGCCACTTAGTGGGAGTCCAGGATAAACCTCAGTTTCCCTTCCTATAAAATGAGATTTACTGATCCCCAGATTACCTGCGAACCCTGACATTGTAGGATCTCTGATCATTTGTAGCGACTCCAATGGTAGCGTCTCACACAGGGGTGTATAGAAGGCACCTTAAAAGAGGCCCTGTGAGGAACTGTGTTCCCGTCCACACAAGGAGGCATAGTCGGCTGCACCTTCACTCTGAATATCTGCTTATCTGCACGTCTTTGGTAGACACAGAAAGAAGAGAAACTATGTGTCTGGTCTCTTTCTCAGCCTCAGTTTCCCCCACCAATATGGTTATGCTAAAGCTATAGGAACACTGGATATGATAGGGCAGGCCTGTCGTGACATCTATCTGGGAGGCCAAGGCAGGAGGAGGATCACAAGAGCAAACCCCTGTCTGAGTTATGGAGCAAGTTCAGGTATTGCCTGAGCAACTTAGTGTGACCTAGGAGAGAGAGCGGGGGGGGGGGGGGGGGGGGGGGGGGGAGCAGTACTGTGAGGCCCCAGGTTCAATCCCAGTACTCTAGAAACTAGAAAACAAATGAATCACAGGCAGTGGAATAGACGGATGGAGAGATTTTCTGTGTGGCTGCAAAGTACGGAGAAGCTCTGGGTATGAGGAGTGACCACTAGGGAGAGGCAGCTGCAGCAGCGTGACTGAGAGAGGCTCACAGAACACCACCAGTGCCAGCCTTTCCCTCTGGGGCTACCTAGATGCTCCAACCTGGGCCTGGGGCTGGGTCCTGCTTCCCCAAAAAAAGCTGACTTGGCTCCCTCCCCTGCCTAGGACTGGAAGTGGCCTTGACAACCCTCATAAACAGCAAAGGCCTGGACCTTTTCGACATCATCAACCCCGAGATCATCACTCGTGATGTGCGTATGGAGTCGTCCATAGCCCCATCTCTTGGACAGACAGTCAGATAATGTTCACATTTGATTTCTATCGCTGGGATAAAACACTGGCCAAAAGCAGCTCGGAGGAGGAGAGCTTGATTTCAGTTTACAGCCCATCACAGGGGGAAGTCAGGGCAGGGACTTGAGGCAGAAACCCTGGAGGGATGCTGTTTGCTGGGCCACTCAAGCCCATGCTTAGGTAACTGTTTTACCTAGCCTGGAACTACCCACCCAGTGCTGAGCCAACTTACATCAATTAACCATCAAGACAGTGCCCCACTCCCTACCCAGACATGTCTACATGCTAACCTGATCTAGGCCAGTCCTGGGCGAGATTTCTCTCAGATGACTCTAGACTCAGAGTGTTTGGTAGCTATTAGAAAGCATCTCTCTCCTGGTGGCTCAGGAGCCAGCACAGCCTGCCCCTGTCTCCTGCAGGGCTTCCTGCTGCTGCAGATGGACTTCGGCTTCCCAGAGCACCTGCTGGTGGACTTCCTGCAGAGCCTGAGCTAGGAGGTGTGGCAGGGCTGGGATCAGAATCGTGTGCCCAGCTTGCAATGGAACCAGAACATCAGAATGCTGGCATCTCTCGTGTGTGGCTCAGAGAGGGCAAGGAGATGGGGACTGGATCCCTGCTTCCCCAGTTATTAAGGCTGCTGCCATTAAATGCTCTGTGCAGGATCTGAGAATGTCCTTCTTGGGAAGGGGAACAAGGGGGCAGAGGATGGGAGGGACACATCTCACCCATTATGCCCATGTGCCAAGCCAATCTGTGACAGTGCCCTGTGGTAGGTGCCCCCGCTTGCAGCTCTCCAGAGCCAGCCTCTGTGGAATATGTTGACATCGCCCCCACCCTTTAGCAACTGCTTTCCTATCTCACATGGTGTGTGTGCACTGCGTGCACCAACCTTGATTCAGACTGGAAGCCCGAGGGACACCAAGTGGCCAAGGCATATATAACACACCCATCCATTTCTGCAGGAGCAAGGCGCATACTCCATCTAGATACAGGATAGGGAAGGTAACGTGCTGGGGGATGTGAAGAATTCGGAGACTGGGGGGAAGAATGTCACAATGGCAGACTTGTCACATTGATACCCCGGGGTGCCACAAAAGTAGCAGGGACCCCACCCGAGATGTCAGCAGGGTCCGCAGAGGGTGCACTCCATGCTAGCAGGTCTCCACTCCCCCTACAGGGTACAAAGAAAGTTCCTATTGGCTAAGCACTCAAACCCTGACTGAGTTACTTTGTAGCAGGCTTTCATACCAGGGAAGATCACACCCAGGGCTGAAGCCATACCTGAACATACACCTTCATCTTCTAGGAGTCAGGGGCAGAGGGGCTACTTAAGTCACATCTTAAGGGCTGAGCAGGAACTTACTAAGGAGCCGCATGAGAAAGGGTGCTAGAGCCAGAGGGGTCATGAGGGGTCTGGAAGCGTTCGTTCACTCCCTAACTTAGTGACACAGCAATCGCTTTGTTCCCTGGCCTCAATCATTGTCGTCATGCTGATTGCTCTGCAGAAGCCTGCGACTGGACCTAGATCCCTGGGCACATGCATCCCACAGCCACACGCTGGTCAGGGAAGAGAATCTCCCATCCTGGTCCCCCACCCCCCAAGTATGAAGGTTGACAACCTTTTGTTCCCCACCATCAAAGCTCCCAAGCCCTCCTCTGACTAGCTTCCTTCCTGAGTCCAAATGGAGCTCCTGACTCATCCCCTGTGCCATGTGGTTCTCACACGGCAGGGTGGGGGAGGTAGAAAGCCAAGTGGATGGAGAATCCAAGGTGGTAGGGAGCACGGGACTTTGTAGAGGTCTGGCTTCCCACAGAAGAGGATGCCAAAGAGAAGGTTCCCTGGGCAGACTTCTAGCCTCCCTGTCCTCCCTGCCCCTAAGCTCTAGTACAGAGGGTTCTTCCATCTCCATCGTGGAAGGTTTTCTCTGGGCATGGCCACTACCCTGACCCAGGGGGATGGTTTGTCCTGCTGTCTCACACCCCTCAGAACACACATATTGAAAAGCAGAGCCTTTGGGAAGCAATTGGCCACTTAAGGGGGATTCGTGCATTTTTCAAGAGACTCGGCTGAAGGGTCATGAGCTCCTGATCAATCGGGAATGGACGGGTGACCCCCCAGAACAGACCGCTAGAAAGCTGGGCCACCCTTGTCTTCTGTCCCCTCCATCTGTGCCTCTTGTGCCTGTTTTTTTTCTACTGGGAGTTGACACAGTGTCTTTCTGATACCACAGTCTAAGACAACTGTTCTCAACCTGTGGGTCATGATCATTGGGAAATGCATATTTCCAATGGTCTTCGGAACTGAGACACTGCTCAGTAGCAAACTGCAATTACGTAGGAGCAACAAAATAATTTTATGGCTGCGGGTTACCACAGCATGAGGAACTGTGTTAAAGGGTCACGGCATTAGGAAGGTTGAGAATCACTGGTCTTTCCAGCCTCTAGAAAACGCTATGAAGTTTACTGTGAGACAAGTATACTTGACTTCTTGAGAATGCATGTGTGTATGCATTTGTGACTCAATGTGTTCATCATGTGTGCAGGTATGTATGTGTGTTTGTACCTGCATGTAGAGGGAATTCCAGGCTTTACAACGTTGTCCTCTAGGGCAGAACAACCAGTTAGAAGCCAGTGGAACAAACTTCTCCCTTAAGGGGCCCCCAAAAGCCTAAGGCCTTCCCTTAAAGCCACAGAGCAAAACCAGAAGAACTTGCCACTGAGGCAGACCCCCTCCCCTGCTCAGAACTCGTTGCATTGCTAAGGGCATTTTGATAAGTCCCTTAGAATGTCACTCTTGCAAGCCCCACACTTGCTGGGACCCTGGAACACATCCTTGAGCCATGGGGGCAGATGTAGCCCCCAGTATCCTCTGTCATTGCAGAACAGGTCTCCAGGTCTGTTCTGGGGGTCGGGGACCACTTACAGCTCACCAAAAGGTGCCAAGAGATCATGTAGCAGTATCAATGGTAGCCCAGAGAGCAGAGGCTTGTCAGAACAGAAGAAAACAGCCAGACTTTCTCACAAACCTACCCCCTCACCCCACGCCCAGTCCAGAAGCTCTGTGTGGGCTGACCACTAAAGATCTGAACAGCCCTGGCCCAGGCTGGACCCAAGGGACCCTTCCTACCTCCTTGGGGTGTGGGGACCCACTTGCCTTACAGTCACCCGAGGGATATTTTTTTAAAGAAGTATTATATATATTTATGCCAGAAGAGGGCATCAGATCCCATTAGAGATGGTTGGGTGCCACTATGTGGTTGTTGGGAATTGAACTCAGGACCTCTCTGGAGGAGCAGCCAGTGCTCTTAACCTCTGAGCCATCTCTCCAACTCCCCCCCCCACACCCCAAGAAATACTTTTATCTGTAAGTCTCCAGTAAACTGTTCACCTTTCTCCATTTTCCTATCCCCTTGGGCCAGTTCTCATATACAGAATATAGCCATGTAAGCTTCGCCACAGAAGGACCGTGTACACTTTGGCCAAAGGAACCTGGCATTGATGGAGGTCTCAGGCTATTGGTTGGGGTGTTGTGAGAACTCTTTCCCTGGGGAGATGTGAACAACGCCTATCCCTTCCTCCTGAACTCCCAACACAAAGCAAAATTCTGTTTCATCACATTTACCATGCAGAACTGACGAGTTTATTGGGTTTACTTACAGAGCACGGGTGACCCCAAAGCGGTACTGCAAAAGTCTTTACCCAGGATGGACGATGTCTTCCCCACAGCTGCACAGAAAAAGCCTTCTCTCCTAGTTCTCCCCAGTCTGTACACTCTTTCCCCTTCTAGAGACCTCAAGCAATTAATTAGGGTAGAATTTCCTGCAAGTGGCTGGGGGGAGTGGCCAGAAACTCAGGTAAAGGTTCAATGACCTTCCCTGTATCCTTCTGGTCTCATAAAGATGGCAGCACTTTGGCTCATAGGATAAAGACTTATAACACAAGCGGAACAGAGGGAGTCTGGGAAAACAGTTTTTCCCAAACCCTCCTTAGTAGACCTCGTTCCGCAGGAGTGGAAAGGGTACTAGGCAGTTCTCACATGACCTCTCTGGATCTTCTCCTTGTGGTTAACAAGATGTTAACCTCTGTCCTGCTCCCCCCACCACGGGGCTTTGCGGATTTAAGTGCATCTAAATACGGCCTGAGTTTGTCTCTCTGGGTCGCGGCCAATTGTCTGTGTCCATGACACCCCTCTGTCAGCACAGAAAGGCATGGGTCCAGCAACAGGGAATGGCTGGAGAAATAGGAGCTGCGTCCTACTGTTGACGGTAGTTCCTTTCACACATACAGCAGACATCCTGCCATGTACCATAGGTCGGGACAACCTCTCCCATCTGACAACAGGAATCAGAGGCTGGCTAAAATCAAGGCGTTAGAGGTACACCAGGCAGGAGTGGGAAAGTTGGGAGTGACATCCAGGTAATCACTGAAAAATAACATCACCTGCTCTGCCCATCAAAAACGTTCTGCATTTCTGGCTTGGTCCTGGAAGGGAGGAGGTTAGAGGTCACAGGAATTCAAGACCCAAAAGAGGAGCTTTTTAAGTTTCAGGTACATGTTACACCTGCTGTAACTTCTGGTCCTCCATTCTCACGGAGGAATGGGAAGGTGCTACTGTCATTGTCTGCTACCAGGCAGGTACCAGAGCTGAGACTCAGGAGTTAGGGTTTTTGGTCTACGCAGTGGTTCTCAACCTATGGGTCGCGACCCCTTTCACAGGGGTCGTTATACATACATATATATATATGTATATATCAGATATCCTGCATATCAGATATTTACATGTGATTCATAACAGTAGCAAAATTACAGTTATAAAATAGCAATGAAAATAATTTTATGGCTGGGGTCACTACAACATGAGGAACTCACTGTCTTCAAGGGTCGCAGCCTTAGGAAGGTTGAGAACCACTGGCCTTGGGTGATGGAGCAAGCACTAAAAAAGGACTTGAGCCTGAGGGGTTAGTTGTGACGGTTGTGCTCCTGACCCTGCCATCAGTGCTCACGTGACATCCTTGTCTCACCACTCCTCCTCAGAACAGTCTGGGAAAGTCATTGTGGGACATCACAGAGATTCCCCCATATGGAAGACAGAGCCATCCTCAGGAAGAGCCTGGCCTCCTGTTCTGAGACAAGGACAAGAGGCAGGGCAGGAGAACCTGGATGGAGGGGGGGGGGAGGGCCTTGGACTTCCCACAAGGCAGGGCACCCTGACTGGAGAGGGAGGGGGAGTGGGGGAGTGGAAGGGAAATGAGAGGATGGGAGGAGGTGGAAATATTTAATAAATAAAAAATAAAGCCGGGCGGTGGTGGCGCAGGCCTTTAATCCCAGCACTCAGGAGGCAGAGGCAGGCGGATCTCTGTGAGTTCGAGACCAGCCTGGTCTACAGAGTTAGTTCCAGGACAGGCTCCAAAGCCACAGAGAAACCCTGTCTCGAAAAACCAAAATAAATACATAAATAAAAAATAAAATAAAAATAAAAAACAATATTAATAAAAAAAATATAAAAAAGAGAGGCAGGGCAGTATGTAGAACTTGGAACAGAGCCAGGGCCAGCGGCTTTCCAAGACGGACCCTGGCCCTGTAATCCCTTCCTCACAGCCCACCTCTTCCCATCCCCCCGCCTCCGCTCTGCGCCCCAGCTTTCTTCTGTGGATTAATTAAGCAACCCTTGCATCTTTGACTTGTGGCTCTTCAAGGCCTGGCGGACACAGCTGGAGACCTTGCTTGTCCAGGCCAGGTCTCCGGTGATGAATAGCTGTCATCCTGCAGCGCACTGGAGCCAGAAGTCAGGACTCAGGACCCAACTCCACGAAGTTTTGCTCAGTGGCTTCTCTTGCCTTCTTCCTTTAAAGTCTTTGGGGAGGCGAGGAAAGGACTGTGCGGGTCCTGCGGCGCCCTGGCCCCACCCACAGCCCAGCGGATGCCCACCTTACCCCATCTTGCTGGCAGGCACAGTGGCACGCCCCAGCATCTCAGCGGCGATCGCCAAGCTGCGGCGGTTTCCGGGCACCCTCCCCGAGTGCTTTGGGACTGGCACTTTTAATCCACGTGATTTCTCGGCAGCCGCGGCGGGTTCCATGAACTAGCGAACAGCGCTAAGTGGCCACTTTCAGTTTCGCACCGAGCGCGGTGGAGCAGGCGTCGAGTCGGTGAGTTACCTGCCCAGATGGGGGCGCGGATGGAGATTATGGGTTCGGATTCCTTGCCAAGAGGGAGGAGGGGGTGCCAGAGGCCAGGTGGGGGACACATGGACAGATGCGTGGGTGGGCACTGGTGGCTTAGCAAAATGCAGTCAGTCACTGCAGTTTGGGGGGCAATAGAAAGTGGCAAGTTGGGGAGTCACTCAGTCTGGGGAATATGCCATATGTCTGTACGCCCCTTCTCCGGGGCTACACCCGGCATCCACTGGAACCATCCTTCCTTGCTTTTTTTTTTCCTTTTCAATTTCCATTGCTTTATTAATAATCACAGAAGTCCACCTGTTTGTTACGATTCCGAAATTTCAGCCTAAAGCAAAACAAAACAATACAAAAATGAAAATCCTTTCTTAATACATTTGTAGAACATATAGAGTTTGGCTGAGCCATAAAAGCTTGCCGTAAAAACCTCCTGCCATTCTCCAACAGTCGCCAACCTCAGGTTTCCCCCATCAGCTATGTTTTCTAACGAATGTCCGATAGAGAATCTCAACAGAAATAGCTCAGAGTGTCCAAAAAGACAGGAATCTTTTTTAAAAAAATAGAATATTGCGTTAAAAAAAAACCCTCAACTATTCTTTAAGGTCTTCATCTCTTTTTCTAATGATCCCTGAAACTTACCAGGTACAAGAGTAGGTCTGGGTAGTCTTTTGTTCCTGGTCTGCCACATTGCCATGTGGGTTTCAAACCATTTTCTCACTCAGAAAAGTCGGAGTTGGGAGTTGCGGAAGTGGCCACTTGGGAGGGTCCTGCAGAGCCCCAGGTCTTCAGTACTGTTTGCATGTCTTGTTGGGATTCTTTTAAAAAGATGGTGTGGGGGGCTTTGCGTGTAAAAGGTATTTTGAAAATTGACTCCCGTGATTGGGAAAAAGGCCAGGGAATGGCAAAGATGGGTGTGTGTAGCCGAGCCATACCCAGAGCTTTCTCTTTCCCAGTCGCTCTCTTTCTCTCTAAGGGACGAGGAAACCTGGAAAACCATCGGGTTCTAGCTCGGTGGTAGATCAGACCCTGTGTTGAGTCCTGGGCACCACGGAAATAACGCAGGAAGCCTGATCTCCCACCAGAGAACAGAGCAGCGTGATAGCTGATGATTGGGGTTCATAAGCCCCCCCCCCCCCCCCCGCTGTGTACTTCCTTCAGCTCAGTCCCCAGAGTTTACACCTGCCTGCCTTGACTCCAGAACTAGCACCCACCTGTCCTGGACTGGGGACCTCCTGGGGGCTCTCAGCCCTGTGCCCTTGCTGAGTGATCATGAGCTAACAATTGCGTCTCTGGGAAAGTTTGATTTCCCATCTATAATACAGGCATAATGGATAGTTCAAAATTTGTCTCATGGATTGACCAAGCAAAAGTAGAAATAGTGCTTGGCCCCAAGAACAAGGAACCTTGGGTCCTGATGGGACAATTGCAGAAGCTTAGGGAATGCCATAGTCTGCTTAGCCCAGGGTCGGCCTGCTTTCAGAAGCTAAGTGTGATCAGGCCTAGAACTTGGATGGGACCGTCTACTTAGGCTTGTCCCCTGACTAGCTGGAGATCAGCAGGGCCTGACCAGGGTCCTTGCACCCCAGCATACCTCCCTCCTTCCTCTGAAGAGAACCCAACAAAATGTCTTCTCCCATCTGTTATACTGTGTGTTGGGTCCCCTAAGGAAGACATGAAGTCCTGCCTCTGAATGTAACCTTATTTGGACAGAAGGTGGCTGCAGAGAGTTGAGATGGGGTTGTAGGGTCGGCCCAGTGTGACTACTGCCTGGTCATAGAGAAGATCAGCATGTCAAAACAGACACCTTGGGGTGGGCGGTCACGCTGGGGAGGCCCAGACTGCAGCCACAAGCTGAGAAAAAAAAAAAATTCAGCAACCGCCCCAACTGGAAGAAGGAGGGCTCCTTTTCTAAGGCCTGCAGAAGGGCCTCTGCCCACTCCTGGGTGCAAATGTGCAGTCTGCAGCCAGCAGAGAGCAAAGCACTGCTCTTTCCATCAGTGCTTGATGGGGGTTGGTTACCACATCACCTCAGCATCTCACCTGTATCACCAGCAGAGAACCGGGCAAGTGCAGACACTTAACGAAATTTTAGGGGAGGGGTTTGGCTCAAGAGTTTGCCTGGCTTGCAGAAGAGTTGGGTTCTCTGCTTGCCACAGATGACAAACAAAAACAAGTCTTTGTAGGTGTTTTCAGGATGCAAAGCATGGTCTCTTTTCACCAGATCTGTTTCTGTGAGTGCGGGCTGACAGCCTACACCCTGTTTGGCTGGGACTAATTCTGCAGAAGAAACATAAGTTAGAAGCAAAACAGAATAGATCTTCCTGGCTGATGGTGCAAGGGGCTCAGAGAGCAGGATCTGTGGAGTTTACAGGCCCTCAGAGCACCTGCGTAAAACAGGTAGAAAGGGAGGCAAGTGTCCTTGACTGTTTGTGGGACTTGTCACCCTTAAATGGATGTGATTGTAAAGCTGGTACGTTAGCTCCAGTTTCTAGGTCCCTGGAAGCTGGTAAAGTTGATGTGGCCCCCACTCTTCTCATTATGGGAACCCCGAGTCTTCCATTCTGAGGATCTCAGAAATGGGGGCGGGGGGGGGGGGGGGACTCAGTTTTTCTGGTCACCTCTGACTGCAGATTCTTCCTCCCCTCTGTCATTGTCTCAAACCAAGACTTGGACAGACCCGGTTCTCTAGGTTGGGAGACCAGAGGAAACCTGATTTAACTGGTTCTTCCTGTTGGTGCTGCTTCCAATACCTCTTCTGTAACTCCTCCCAGGGGAATCTTCTCCACAGAAGCTTTGGCCACCCTCTGTCTGGCACTGATGACGGGGCGAAAGGGAATCGATTACATGGAGCTGATAGACACAGGCCCTCTAGCACCAGGTTTTTCCACGCGTGTGTCATATTGTATATTTTATTTTTAAAGCAATCTTATCTTACACACCAATCCCAGTTCCCTCTCCCTCTGGTCCTCCCCACCTTCTTTCCACCCCACCCCCATCCATTCCTCAGAGAGGGTGAGGCCTCCCATGGGTAGTCAACAAAGTCTGTCTCATCACTTAAGGCAGAGCCAAGGCCCTCCCCACTATATCTAGGCTGAGCAAGGTATCCCTAGTTTATGCCCTAGGAATTAAATCCTAGGGAAATCCCCAGGAAATCCACAAGGATGACCCCAGCTAAGACCCTAAACAATAGTGCCCTTAACTGCCCTTCCCCTATAATCAGATTGATGACCACCTTAATTGCCATCACAGAACCTTCATCCAGTAACTGATGGAAGCAGATACAGAAAACCACAGCTGAGCACTGGGCCAAACTCCGCGAGTCCAGTCATAGAGAGGGAGGAACAATAATATGAGCAAAGGGCCAAGACCGTGATGGGGAAACCCACACTAACAGCTGACCTGAGCAAGTGGGAAATCACGGACTCCTGACTAACAAGTGGGGAACCTGAATAAGACCTAACTAGGCCCTCCGAGTGTGAGTGACAGTTGTGTGGGATGGGCAGTTTGTGGGGCCGCTAGCAGTGTATCCATACTTTAATGGACTCAGATTTTTTTTTTTTAAAAAAAAATGAGATCTCACTTGTTAAACTAAATAATATGAACAACTTGGTGACACACACCCAGTATTTAGGAGGCTGAGGCAGAAGCTTTAACAGAGGTGAGGCTGAGCCTGTCCTATACAGTGAGATCCTGTCTCCAACTTTTTTTAAATAAATAATTTAATTTAATTAAGTAACAAATACATTCATAATGTAAAGAGGTAAAAATCCAGTGACCCAGATACTTTCTCTGAAGACAACTGGTGTCATTGGGTTTCTATGCCTTCTTCCAGAGTCTAACTGGGCCTTTGCAGACAAGTGCATCCAGGGTTTCCCCACACAGTCAGCTTCATTAAATAGACTTTAGATTATACACACACACACACATATATATATACAAATACACAGTCATGTACGTATGTGCTTCCACACCTGTACACACATGTGCACACATGTATTCCCTCACTCATAAGAATAGTGTACTGTATGAAGTGTGCACATGTTTTTTTCCATTTAATGTGGTAAGTAATCTTTATTTCCTCTCTATATACTTATTGTTTTGGTGCTAGGGACAAACGCAGGGCCTTGGGCATGGCAAGTGAGTGATTTTCCACTGAGTCCAATTTCCAGCCCTCTTTATGGCTGTATACCCTTTGTGAATAGAGAGCCCTGTTTATGCAACTATATCCTGTACTTTGACCATATCTATATAATAAATGCATAAAATAATATGATTATGGTGTATATGTATATTATTTTATGCAGCTATATAAAAATCCAGGGTCCACAAATGAAGAAAAACATTCAATATTTGTCTTTCCGAGTTCATCTTGTGCTCACTTAATCTGGTGCTCTCTGGTTGTGTCTGTTTTCTTGCGAACACCATCACTTGTTTTTCTTTTTTGGTGAACAAAATACCATTTTGTATGTGTATGTGTGTATGTTTGATGGGCCTGTGTGTGTGTGCATGCCACATTTTCTTTATCCATTCTTACATTGACGGAACACCCAGGCTGACTCTACAACTTGCCTCTTGTGATGCGGTGCACCAAACACAGATATGCAAGCATCTCTGGGGTGTGTGGACTTGGAGTCTTTGAGGTATACAGGAAGTGGTACAGCTGGGTCATACGGTAATTCTATTTTTAGGGTTTTTTTTGAAGTGCCTCTGTATTAATCTTTATGCTGGCTAAACTAATTTACACTCTCAGCCACTATATATGTATATATTTATGTGTGTATATGTTGATACATTCCTTTATTCTTGAAACCTCCACATTGCTCGATGCTTTCTGAGTGACAGTCATTCTATCTGGGGTGAGAGGGGATACATCGCTGTTTCGGTATGAATTCTGACGGCTAAGGAAGTGAACCTTTTTATGTCCATTTGTCTTTTATTCTTCAGCTTCCGAAACTGTGCTCATTTACTTA